GCAGTGTCACTGGCCCTCATATGTGGGATCCGAACCGGGGCCCTCTGGCGTCCCAAGCCAGTTCTTAACCATCGCGCCACTCGGCCGGCCCCAGAACATTTTTTTTAAATCAACTTTTTATTTTGAAAAATCTCAAACCTAAGAAATTACAAAAATAGTACCATAGAATGTGTCCATAATTCTTTACCTAGATTCACCAATTGTTTACCTTTGCTTTAACTCTATGTATATACATATTATTATAATTTAAAACATTAAAAAAATTTTTTTATATTGTACCCATATAACATTATATTATTTTCAGGTATATAACATAATGATTCAATATTTGTATATATTGCAAAGTGATCACAGTAAGTCTGCTTATACATCCATCATCACACAGTTACTAAAAGTTTTTCTTGTGATGAGAACTTTTAAGATCTACTCGTTTAGAACTTTCAAATATACAATACAGTGTTATTAACTGTAGTCACCATGCTTTACATCATGTTTCCAGGACATTATTTATTTTACAACTGGAAGTTGAAACATTTTTGCTAAACCACTTGAGAAATAGACATCTTAATCCTTTTCCCCTAAATACTTTAGCATGTGTTTCCTAAGATCAAGGACATTTATCCTCTCCCAGAACCACAATGCAAATTCCATATAAATTCTGGAAATTTAACATTTATAAAATAATGTTATCTAATGTGCAGTCAATATACACATTTTACCAGTTGCTCCAAGAATGTCTATTATATTAATTTTTCCCTTAATCCAGGATCACATATAATGTTTAATTGTGTCCTACACTACTGACGGTGATTTCTGTACTGATAGACACTTATTCCAGAGTAGCTTTTCAGCCTTTCTCTGCCTTTCATGATGATGACAGTTCTGAAGACTACAGTCTAGTTGTTTCATGGAACGATTCTCAATCTGATTTTATTTGGTGATTCTTCCTGATTTAGTTGAACTTCCACAGTTTTGGCAGGAATACTGTGTAAGTAATGATGTATTGGTAGGTGTCCATACCAGAGTACAGCTGAAAGTGTACATAATTCATTTTAAAGTCATTTTCCACCCCATCCAAAGAGATTTGAATTATCCCGAATGAAAAAGGAATGATTATAAGGCAAGTCTAAAAAATAATCCTTCTTGGTGAAGAGCTTTCTGAAACTTCTTAGGGAATGCTAACTGTTCATCTTGCCATTTTTTCCTTTAATTTCTGTACCAACGTACATATCAGTTTTTGAACAACTGTATTTAATGATTTCCTCCATATCGTCAACAATATGAATTTCTTTTAAAAATGTATTATTTGTCACCTATCTTCTGTTTAAAGAAAAAAGTTTTCTTAATAGCTGAGTTGTTTATAAATTATATATCATATATTTGAATCTGTGCTTGCTAGTGTAGTATAGATTAAGTTCATTATAGACTGAGTTTAGAAAACACTCAAATAGCATCATTTCAAATCAATGTTTAGAGCAGCAACTTTTGATTTTGTAATTTTTAATGATATGTTACATTTCCCCCCTGTGTTTATGCATGTATATCAATTGTATTTTTTATTAGGACAGTGATCCAGCCTGGCATCTCCCATCCTGATATTCAGCTGTTGCACCCGATTAACTTGGAGTTTTCAGTAAATCGGAATCTAGCTGCATCTTGGTACCACAAGGTTCCTGTTGTGGAAATTAAAGGACATCTTGAGACAATGAATGTAAGTGTGTGAGTGAAAAAACTTTGTTATGGAAATTTTAGACTCTGAAGACTTCCTCAGTATAAATCCAAATGAAATGTAGAATTTTTTATTGATTGATATAAGACAAATTTCAGTATGATGTTGTCCAACAAGATCTTCATTATTTTTAGCAGATTTTAATCTTCAGTAAGTGTTACTTAACTTTTAATCTTGCTATATGTACATAATAGCAGAGATCCTTGTGTCAGTTATTTATCAGTGTATAATATTACATCTCATTTTGTATATTGTACATAGATACTTTTATTTTAGGGATATCTAAGACCAACAAAGATACTTATAGCACTGAGAGACATTCCTGTGTTTTGTATTGAAGATGGCCTTTTTATTTCATTCAGGTTGTTATTGTTTGAGAAAAGGAATTTATGTGTTCCCTTAATTTGTGACTTTAACAAAAATGGTCAGATTTCTTTAATTATTAACTTTCACAAAGATCTTATAAATTAAGTACATGGAACTGATATAGACTCATAAATCACATTGTTTTTCTCTAAGTCCTTTCTTATCTTTGAAAATAAAAATTTTAACATGCAATAAGTAATGAAATACTTGAGTGGGTAATGAATATATAATTTTTCTGTCAATGTTAAGGTTATTTTATTTTTAATGTTTTGTTATTTTCTGTACTAAAATTGCTGCATTTTAAAATAAAATATATTTATCTTTTCTTTTAATATTTTATAGGTTAGTCTAAATCAAGAAGATCTTAATCTTTTATTTAGAATACTAGCAGAAAATCTTGGTGAGGCTACTGAAGACCTGAATAAAGTGAAACCAGGAATACAAGAGACAGGTAAGAGGCTGACAGTAGGTGGCATAATATATGTGTCTATTTATTTTACAATTTAATAAGGGAGACAGACAATAATAATTACATATAGTTTTTGTAAATGGTATTTATTTGTAAATATATGTTTATAAACTGCAATTTGTATTATTAAGAAAAGATGTTATTGAATAAAACCATAGTTTGCTTTTTAGTTTAACAAATAGTTATAGTTCAGACTTTTTTCTGAGTTTCATAAGCAAGGACGTGGCCATAAAGGAGGATTTTAGATCGATGGTTGATTCCTGGAATAATTACTGAATTTGCATGTATAGAAAAAAACATTATAAGTTGGCACTAAGCTGTGGTAGTGTACTTGTTCTGATTTTTAAATAAGGGTTAGTAGTAAAAACCTGTAATAATTGAAATGGTTGATAAATTTCCATTCAGCAAAGATACTGAAAAAATTGTACTTCAGTAAAAATGCAAAGAGAATTTGAATTATTAATTACAATGGCCTTTTTTACTTAAAGGCAAAGTAACTACCAGACTTTTATTTTAAGCTGTTTTATGTGTTTGCATATACACAGACATGTACATAATCTTTATTTTTTTAAACAAATGGTAACATCCTCCGTTTGTGTGTGTGTATGTGTGTTTGTGTATTTCTGCACTTCACTATTATTTAATTAACTGTATCTTGGTGTTCATTCTATATATATCTATATCTGTACATTATAGAACTGTCTCATTCTTTTTAATGGCTGGCTGGTATTAAATTGTGTTGAAGTATTATAATTTATTTAGTAAGTCCCTATTGATGGACATTTCAAGTTGTCTTCAGTCTTTCACTCTTAACTTGTTGCAATGAATATCTTTGTATATACACTTTTACACATATATGCATATGTGTAGGGGAAATACCAAGACTACTGAATTAAAGGTATTTAATTAAAATTTAATTTAAATTTAATGAATAATTTAATTAATACATTTAAAAAGAATAAATTCAATTTTGACAGTTCTTGCCAATTGCCCTCCATAGAACTTGTACTAATTTTGCACTACTACCAGGCTATTTTTTGTATATACTTTTTCTAACGCAACATATTATCAGATTTTTAAATTTTTGCCAGTTTGTTAAGTGAAAAATAGTATCTCACTGTATCTTTTTAATTTTAAAAACTTGTTTAGCTGAAAGTAATGTTATATGTCACTTACCGTAGATCTCAAAACAAAAACAAACAAAATAAAAACAAAAGAAAAAAACCCCTATTTTACTGTATGTTCATTTATGTAGTAAAATGCACAGATCTTAAGTGTACAATTCAGTGAATTTTTATATATGTCTACACCAGTATAATCATCATGATTAAGATATAGAACATTTCCAGCATTGCATTGCACCGCAGAAGGTCTTCCTATGCTCCTTCCCAGTCAGTACCAAATGCACACCTTACCTCCAAATCCACCCAAAATTAACTACTGTTCTCATTTTGTAATGCCATAGATTAGTTTTGCTTTTTCATGAATTTCATATGACTGGAATCATACAGAATTTACTTTTTAGTTTTTGGCTTTCTTCATTCAACATTTTGTTTGTGAGATTCATCCATGTTGTTGTATGTAGCAGTAGTGTGTTCTTCTTATCCCTATACCATATTCATTTGGTGACTGTAGCAAAATTTTATTTTATCCATTCTACGTTTGCTGAATATTTGGTTTGTTTCCAGCTTTTGAATCTCATGAATAAAGTTGTCGGGAATGTTATTGTAAATGTCGTTTGGCACAGTTATATATATATGACTTAGTAGATGTACTGGGTCATATGTTAGCTTATGTTTAGCCTCAGTAATTTATGCCAAATTATACCAAATAGATTTTCAAGTGGTTGTACCAGTTTACTTTCCTACAAGCAATGTATGAGAGTTCCAGTTGTTTCATTCTTACCAGTTTTTGATGTTGTCAGTCTTAAAATTTAGCTGTCCTGGTGGATAGACAATGGTATCTCTATGGTTTTTATTTGTTCTCTGTTTACTAATGAAATTGAAAATCTTTTTATATGCTTATTTGCCATTTGGATATCCTCTTTTGTGACATGAATATTCAAACATATTGAGCATTATTTTTATTGAGATATTTGTCTATTTTCTAACTGATATATAGGAGTTCTTTGTTTATTCTGGATACAAGCTCTTTGCTGCTTATGTGTGCTATATGTATATGTGTTGGTATATGTGTAGAAATATCTTTCCCTCTCTATGGTTTGCCTTTTAACTCTTTTAATGGGTCTTTTGTGAATAGAATTAATTTTAAAGAATTCCAAAATACCATTTTTAAAAATCATCAGTGCTTTTTATTTCCTATTTGAAAACTTTGCTTATTCTAGGAATTGTTTTATAAAAGCAACTTATTTGCTGGAATTATTTCCCTCAGGCCACATTATATTTGGAATGGTGCTTAGAATAAGGTGGTAGTTAAGAAACCTTGCCCTATGTATGCATTGCTTTCTGAAAGGTAATGATTAACAGCAGTGGTTTTCTGTCTGGGTTTCTGGTATAGTTTACACTTGGCGAGGTACTGAATCTATAGGAACTCCGTAAGCTCATCTGTAAAATGAGGGCAATACATGTTTTATCTCAAAAGGTTGTTATAAGAATTAAATGAGACAGTCCATGTAAAGCCCTTAGTACAGTGTCTAACACAGAGGCAAACACTTAGCAAGTGACAGCTGTTACTAGTTTTGTGTACTATAGTTTAGAAAGCAATTTCAGAGTATGTGAATTTTAGGACACCATCATATTTATATAGCTTTACTTTTGCTTCCTGATAGGGCATAAGAAGCTCTAACCACCAACCCTTTTTTTTTCTTTCTAGCCTTAACCCTTGTTATCCTCTTCATGATTTAACCATAATAAAACTCCATTCTGTTTGCAAAACATCTCAGGATGTTATCTCTCTATGGTTTTCCACAGCCTTCTATCCTATTCCTGGACTGTCTCCTCTGTGTGAGGGGCTCCTTCAGCTCTACTTGAGTGATAATTCCCCTATTACTCTTTTCTTGACCTCCCCATAACAATGTCCTGCCTAGACCTGTGCTTTCTGTGCATTTTATTTAGAAAGTCTATTAACATTTGTCCACTTAATATGATTAAGTGTAGCCTGCTTATTTGTTTTTATCTTAAATGTATATGTCTTTTCTGTTAAGCCATGAGCTTTCTAAGGGCTGAGCTGAGTATTACTGATTTGTGGATTTTCGGTGCCTGCACCAGGTCCAGAGTACTTACATAAGTCCTCAATCTGTATTTGTGGAAGAAATGTGTGAATAGAAGTGAATGAATTTCTTTTAAACACCTCTAGGTGAAATTAAAGAGCCACTTGAAATCTCTACATCACAAGATGTACATAATTCACAAGGTACAGCTGGAGTAGAAGAAATTAGATCTGTAGACATCATTAATATGCTGCTGAATTTTGAAATCAAAGAGGTGTGTAATTTTCATCTATTTTTATAAAGTAAGGTGAATAAGTAATGGACATTTGGAATTACTTCCACTAAAATAAATTTGTAGATTATTGATAATGGATGAAAAAACTCTTACATAGGCTATTTATAATTTGTATGTAGAAGTAATGTTTTAAAACTTCAGAGTTTATTAAAGAGGAGTTATATTTGAGGGATATAATATTTCATAGAGAAAATGGTTGCATGTCCTCTAACATGCTTCCCAAATGATTTTAGGTCAGTTGGAATGTGGCTTGCTTTTGATTTCATATAGGGAAGGGAGGAAAGGGAAACAGAGAGAGAGTAATCCTTAAAATTTAAACACCCTTAAAAGAATAAAACACAATATGTCTACAGTTTAAAAATGTTTCATTACCACTATCTGCTTTTCATCTGCGGAATCTTAAGGGAAAATTAAATTTATTTTCCTCTTCTGTATTCACACATTTAACAGATATTCATTGCATGTGCTAAATCTAAGGATACAGAGGCAAAAGGCATAGACTCTGAACTCAAACAAGAAAACAATTAAAATTTTTGTTAGTGCTCCCATTAAAAATATGCCCAGTCCAGTGGAGCTTATGGCAGTGGTGGTAGGGAGAGGGCGTCTAAGCAGTCTGGGAGGGTCAGGGAAGATTTCCTGGAGGAAGTGACATTTGAGCTGAGTTTTTAAAGAAGAGTAAGATGCATTCTGAGAAAAGGGGATCAAGAAAGAGGAGCAGGCATAAAGACATGAGTATGTGAGAAAGCGTAATGGATACCGGAACATGTAAGAACTTCCTCCAAAATCTCCTCATCATTAAATACTTGTATAGAGGTTATATTCTTTCTCTGAGCTAAAAATAATAAACTTTTAATAATAAACAATTGAGTTCTACTTTTTGATCTGATATACATGTTTTGAAACTAACTTCTTTCATGTTAAACTTCTGCTCTTTTTCTGGTTAATATTTAGAGTTAAGATTTTTAAGCTTTGATAATTGAAACACTGATAGATAAATCATTCTATTTGCAAGTGGGCTTCATTAACATATGTACATAGAAAATCTATAAGTCCTTTTTAGTATCATTTGTAATATACACTGCTATAGTTCCCTTTCCTTAGGAGAGTGATTGAGGTAGGGGAAAGCAGTTTGCACTCTCTCTCTCAGGCTGGTATTTGCCATTATCTGAAGATATTTTTAGTTGTCACTGTCTGGGGAAAGGGAGCTACTCGTAACCAGTGGGTAGAAGCCAGTGATGTCACTAAACATCCTATAGTGCACAGGACTGCTCTCTGCTATAAAGAAGTATCCTGCCCAAATGTCAATGGTGTCAAGATTGAATACCCTTGCCTTAGGAGTGCTATAAAAATTGACCATTTGTCTCACAGACTTTCAGATGAAAGGCCATCTGTCCATCAGACTAGGACTTCTGGGATTTAGGCAGAATTAATTAAATTTTTTTTAACTTTACCTTGAAAACTACTAGAACATAGTGGCAGTGCTTTAAAAGTCTGAAGGAGTAAATGTGCCTCCCAAAATAAATAGCATTAGGCAATTTCTAGGCACAAGTAGAAGTAAACATCTTTACATTGTGTGAAATTTGGGGTTATTAAGTTGTTGATTTATCTTCATTGTATATTAATGAAATTGTTTGTGGTAATACTGGTACTTTTTCTAGGTTGTGATTACTTTGATGAAAAAAGCAGAAAAGAAAGGAAGGCCTTTATATGAACTAAATGTGCTCCAGCTTGGAGTGGAAGCTAGGGTTAAATCCTATGACCTAACAGCTGAAACTTATCTAAAAAAAATTAGTATGCGATGCCATGAGTTTACTGGTAAGTATGAAGCATAATCTCTGTAAATTATCCGTGTAATAGGCAGATAGTCCCTACCTTTTTATCAACATTAAGCATGTTTATTAGTGTCACCATAATTATTTAGTTAGTTTAAATTTATTACATTAATACAAAGGAATTTTATATTTAAAAATTTATTATCTATGTAGTTATTTATCATAAATAAGATTATACATAAATGTATTTATATTTAGCATGACATCAAATATATCTAAAAGAAAAATGAGACGCATTTGTCTTCAGTGCCTGTACATAACACTTCAGTACTTATAAAAAGCAACAATTCATTATAATTATGCTGTGAGAACTGATATATTAGGAAATCAGAGCCAAAGTACAATACCCAGGTATAGAGTACAGGGACCCTTTTTAATTTTAATAAATTTTAATTTTAATAAAATTGTAACACTTAATATATACCGATAACAAAAGATGAATACAAGTCACGTTTGACTTCTGCAATTACAAGAGGTGCTCAAAGTGGCTACCATCAGGTCCAGACACTTCTGATTACGGCGACCTAGTGCTTGAGCAACATTGACCAAAGTGTCCACTTGTATACATTTTTTTGGCACCCCTAATATATGTAAAAATAAAAATTAAACACTACAGAAATACATAGAGGAAAAATTTAAAATCATCTTGTAGTCTCAGTCTCTTACCCCCAAATAAATACTAACTTATTCTTCAGTGAGTATCCTCAACCTTTCATATTCAGTTTCTAAATTGGATCAAGCCAACTTTTAAAGTTGCTATGGGTGTTTAAAGTTTATTGGAACTCTTTGGGATAACTTGAAGTAAAGCAAATTTATATTGAGAATAATCCCTAGTTTATGTATTTTATAGCTTTGTTTTTAAATATATTATGATTTGTTGAAACGACTAATACCAGTAGTACCAAATGTTAACAACAGTTGTAATCGGCTGGTACTGGTTTTTTTTTGTTGTTGTTGTTTTTATAGAATTTATTTTTTTAAATCACTTTTATTGAGGTATGATTTATATACAATAAAATTCACCCTTGTAGTGTACAACTCTATGAGTTTTGGCAAACATACATTTGTGTAATTGGCTGGTCTGTTTTAAAATATGTTTAAAATGTTTAAAAGACTTGACCCTTTCTTTTTCTCTTCTAGACTCTAAAGGAGAACCTCTTCACATTATTAACTCTTCTAATGTAACTGATCAACCCCTTCTGAAAATGTTATTGACAAAGGTACCTAGTTTCATTCCTATGATTCTTTAGTATATGAAGTTATGCAGTTCCCTCATATTTAATATTCAATTTTCTCCCCTAAAATTTTTTATTCTGAAACTGGTTGATTATTGTGAGTTTTGCAAGCATCTGACAGTCCTGGATAATCTCATAACCTTCTGAGTTAACCCTGTGTTTTTGAATAAGTGGGAGCATATAAAGTTCCATTATAATTTAAAGCAAAGTTTGTTATAATCTGGATATATGATACTAGCATTCTCCCTTGCCTTTAGCATTTGAGATTTGCTCCTGTAGAATCTGAGAAATGCTTATGTGGTCAATTTTTTTGGCATGTTCTTCTTCGCCTTTAAGAAATATAGTATTTCCATAGCATAGTTTGAAAAGTAAAGAATATATATAATTTTTACTGTTTGCAACCCAGTGTTTTTTTTCTCTATTATTTGTAGGCAGACAGTGATGGACCGGAATTTAAAACTGTTCATGACAATACTAAACAGAGACTGAAGGTAAATCTTATCTAATTTACTATAGGCTGAGTTATATTAATGAGTAAATCTAGCTTCATAGCCAACTTGTGAGATTGTTGTGAGATTGTAAATTCTAAAATTAAAATAAGGGTGGCAATAATAATAGATATAATTTTATAGTTTAATGTAATTAATATAGAGTTGAAATAAAATTCTTAAAAGAGTTGATTTAATTCCTTACAAGATTATTTGTTTCTCAGATATGAATTAATGATTACTTGTTGAGTACACAAATAATACACTTTTTAAGGGAATTTTGTTCACTATGAATATTTGGCATAGTATTGATGGAAGCATGAAACATTTGAATAATTCATATTGGTTTTAGGATTAGAATAAATTTAAGAGCAAGGCTAAAAGCATGGCTCAGTATCGATATTGTCATAGTCTTTGTTGTCTGTATATAGAGTATATATAGTCTGTCTTGGAACTGTATGTAATGTGACTGAGTTAAGGCCTGATAATACTTCCTGTATCTTTACTTAAAACCCATCAAGCTCTGTTGAGGTTAGAATACAGTAAGGATTGACAACTGTAATAGTAAGTTCTTTCTTAAAACAATACAAAAAGCCCTTAATTGAACTATTCTTGTGCTGCTTATGTATGTTGAAGCTTAACATAAAAATGTTACCATATCTGAAATCTGCCTCTCTAATTGTTTATTATCTTAGGTTTCATTTTCATCCTTAGACTTAGTACTTCATTTGGAAGCTTTACTGTCCCTCATGAGTTTTTTATCGTCTGCTATTCCATCCTCTGAACCCTCTGAGAAGGAGGAATCTGAGCTGAAACCACTTGTGGGGGAGTCCAGAAGTATCATTGTCAAAGCTGGTATTAACTTTTGAGTCATGGTCTCATACTTTCTGTCTGAACTTTAATAACCATATAATAACTTGTATTTTCAAGCTAAGACACATATTTAGCACCTTAATGTCACAGCTGCTGTGACAGATTAGATTAGTTTCAAAGGAAAGCAAATTTTATCCTTATGGTATTATAGGGTAATTTAGGGAGGGATTTTATTTTTATGTATGTATGTATGTATGTATGTAGCCAGCTAGCTGAGCCATCCTGCCACCTGTTGGCAGCTCAGTGGCAGCTCAGCTCTGGCCGGGAATTGAACCGGCGACCCTGTTGCTCAGAGCTCACACTCTTGAGAGAGCTCTTAACCAACTGAGCCACTTGGCCTGCCCCTAGGGAGGGATTTTAAATAAATGTTTAATATTAATCATGTATTTACATTTGATTTCACTGTCTAGGTTTTACATGAAATGAAGTTGTATATACTTTGCATTGATGTCTCTGTAGCCTTTAGTGAAATGAAGAAAGGACGAAATTAAAATATGAATACAATCATACCTAGTGACAAAGGCCCATTTCAGTCAATCAGGAAAATCTCCCTGGTGCCCAAAATTTTAAGTGCTTTGTAGGGCACAAAAGGAAGAATCTCATGGAAGAGACAGACTCACTTTGGTTTCTAAACAGAACTGTATTTAAATCACATACGGCTATGGGCACATGTTCCTCAAGCATGTGACTTGTGCTGTGAAATATTAGATATGATGTATCCTGAGTGAACAACTGTTTTTAAGCCAAATATCGTTTTAATTATTTTTTTTCTTATGTGATGTGAATATCTAACATCTAGTAATTTTCAGACCAGTACCTGTTTGAGTTATATTACTAGCATCTTTATAGTGTAAAACTGTTAGTAATGTTTGATCTGATACAAAGATCAGATATTTTCTTTTAACTAGAGAGCAGAGCAGTACTTTTGTTATAAACTCGAGTAAAAGTTTTACTTTCTTTTTCTTTAATGCACTTGTTACATTACTATCTATGGAAATACTTGTATAATATGTACATGCACACATGCATACACATGCACATAGTTGAATAAATGAAAAAGCAGTGTTTAAGTTCATAATAAACTATAAAGAAATTATCCAAAGAAACAGTCATGCTGTATAGTTGGTTTTTATGGTTTGATCATGCTATTTTAAATCTTAAGGGAAAAAACCCATTATCACCTTGATGGTTAAGGACTGATGTCCCCATGCTTTTACAGTTTTATAGGAAAAGGTCTGTTTTCCTTAGGCAAAATAGATCTCTAGGGAAATATATCTTAAATTTATCAATCAGGATTTGGACGATAGTAGGTTAACGGAATCCATTTGATTGTGATTCTTATACACATACACACATTATAAAACATTTTTTTTGTATTTTTAAAAACTTTAGCCCTTTATGTTTATTTCTCATAGAATTTATTTTAGGATTTTTCATTGAGAAACAGGATACCATCTAGAGAAATTGATCCTACAGTTAATATGTATTGTGTGTGTCATAGTTAATTTATTTTATTAATTATCACTATTTCAGTTTTTCATGAAATACTCTTTTTTCTAATATATGATACGAAAAGGAATTCAGAATAAAAATTTGGCCCCAAAAGAATTCTAGACTTAATACAGAGGATTTTTTTTCCAGCAAGAAAAATTATAATAAAGTTTCTGTCTAGCAAATTATACTGTCAAGGTTCTTTTAAAGGCTTTCTTTATTCTTAATTTGGAGGGGAACATGATAGTTTTTGTTTGATTGGCATTTGAAAATTGATTCAAAATTTATATTAATTACATGTAATCTTAAGGGAGGGGTTTTTGGTTCTTCATAGGTCATTATGTGATTATTTTAGTGCATTTGAGATTATTTTATATATGTATCATATATATCATCTTTGCATTTTGCTAATCACAAGGTTTCTATTACTTTTTAGTATCCAGCAACACTTCTGAAAACGATGTGTTTGACTTAAAGATTATAGCTGAATTAAATTCATTTAATGTCCTGGTCTGTGATCAGAAGTGTAACATTGCAGATATTAGAATACATGGTAAGTAATTATTCCTTAATATAAGTAGTTCTGTTTCTATATATAGACCTTTAAGTAGAATGAGCTTGTGAATGGTAGATTTCTCATGAGTCATCTTTTAAATTTACTTATATTGAAGACTCGTGCAAACTTTTCAAAGATATACATTGAAATGTTTGAAGTAAATTTATTATGATTCACGGCTGACATGAGATGTTCTTCATGTATTTAAAGAATTTCAGAATTAGTCTAACCTCTTAGGTTCTGTTTGTGTTTTCAGAATAGTGTAACTTTAAACTATTAAATGAATATCATGATAATATCTCACTGAGTAAAGAAAATGTCATTATCCTTATTGTCCTTGTATTTTGTGCATATATAGCATTAGGAAAAGAAGTTTGTAAAATAAGTTTAATAGGCTTTTCCCAGTCAGCTTGATACAAGGATGATGAATTCAGATTATACCATGGATTCTGAAGCCAGCCTGCCAAGGTTCAAATTTTGGCTCTAACAGTTTCTGGCTGACCTTGAGCAAATTAGTTCACCTTTCTGTTCCTGAGCTCCCTTTTCTGTAAAATGGAGATATTTATAATAATTATTTCATGGGGTTGTTTTGAGGATTAAGTTTACATGTTTACATATATTTAGAAAAGTGCCTGGTACATCATAAACATTTTTAAAAGGTTAAAAAAATCAGTTCCATTGAACAAATATTACTAAGTATCTATTTTATGGATGGCATGGTAATGGTTTCGGTCATTAGTGGGTCTTAGCTGCAGGCACACTGTCCTGAGGAGCTGTTTTAGAAATCATGCCTGTAGAGATTATGAGAGTGACAAAAATTTTTTGGAAATCTTGGATGACTGTATTTTAGATACAATTTATTAGAGAAAGAGTAACAGTTATTCATCAAATTATATACATTTATGCTTAGTTATTAGAGCAGTAGTTTTCAGAATATAATCTTTATGGGATGACTGTTTAACAAACATTGTGTGTCTTCTTAAGTGACTGCTTCCAATCTTGGCAAATTTTCTTTGAAATTTGGTTTCTTTTGTTTTAAAATTTCCACAATTTTTATGTATGAGATGCCTGTAGCACTTAAAAACATTATAATCTTTCTTAGCTATCTCATACATAGAAGTTGATACCTTTAATATGTCTAATAGTAGTTTTTATTCATTCTATATCTTGGTACTATATTATTGAACTTAAATACCACTAAATTGGTTCACTTGGATTGGGTGGAGAGTTTGTAAATGTAATGTTTCCCACAGGAATGGATGCCTCTATGTTTGTGAAACCAAAGCAGACTGACATGTTTGCCAGACTTAAGGATATAATAGTTACGAATGTTGATTTGCTGTCTATTCACAAAAAGGTATTTAAAACATAGGTTTCTATATTGAAATTTTTTTGTGTTCTTTGGGTTTGAGATGTCTCTATTCATCTATTTAGTATATATTTTTAATTGTCATTTGTCAGGTACTTTGTTAGGGATTGGACATGAATATGGTCATAGTCTGCTTTCACATTGTGTAATATATAGCTTAGGTGATTTGTAAGTTATTTCTGACCAATTAATTAGATGATAGATATCTCCAATGATAAAATTATTTTTATGGGGGTAGGAGAAACTTATTGCCAAGTATAATGTTTTTAATAATTGGTTGAAAGTTGATTTTAAATGGTGCTTCTTCATATGTCAAGGATTCTGTAATAAGGAAGCTTATTAATAACACAGTGATGCAGCTGTTTTAATGTAATAACCAGTTAATTTAATACTTTTAGGCTGTCTCTATTTTGGGAGATGAAGTCTTTAGGTTCCAAATGACTCTTTATCCGGATGCCACAGAAGGAAAGGCCTATGCCAATATGTCTAAAGTAGATGGCAGACTTAGTCTCAAAGTGGGTTGTATTCAAATTGTTTATGTTCATAAATTCTTCATGTCTCTTTTGGTAAGTTTATTTTAAAAAATATATTTATTTCTCATTGAGGCCTAAATATCTTTGTCTATACATCTAAACCTAGATAGTCAAAATGTTTACTAATAGGACTGTGTGATAAATGCTGAACCAGAATATTATAGTTAAGGAAATCCTTTGCATGATGGATAACCAAATGAATTTTTGTTATCATTATTTTTGAACATATAAACTGTCATGCTTTAACATTTCCATAGTTATATATTTTAAAAGTACTGTTTAAAAATTTTAGGCTTTTAATGTTATTTGTTTTATGAAATACGCTTATAGGTAGTGAGCTAAAAGAATTTTTAAAGGAGCTTATCAGGCATTTGAAAGACTAATATTGGAACTTACTGCTTTTGATTATAACTGTGATCATCAAACCCATAAAAGTCTTTTCTTTTAGTTATTTATTTCCAATGTAAGTGTTGTGGGCTAAAGAGTTTAAATCTGCCTCTGCCTCTTAGCAGGGTATAAATCAAAGCTTACAGGTTATGGATTTCTACCTAAACAAACCATTATGTTTTATTTTTCTGGAAAGTAATTTATCTGGAGTGGGGGGAGTTTAAGTTGCTTTGTATTATTAACAGATGAGCATTAAGGATATTATTTCTAAGAATGATCCTTTCTTCATTGGGAAAAGCCTTAGTTAAAATTGAGATGAAGTACATCTTATGCTAAATAAGTAAGTTTCGACTCTTATTAATGATTGCAAGATTGTAGACATTTAAGTATCTTTTGCCTGAGTACACTTAAAAAATTCTTCATAAATAAGCTGGCAAAACCTTAGTTTCTAAGAATAAACTTCATTCCTGTGACCTAGAGGTATAGAATTGAATATACTTTGGGAGAAGCAAAGTGCTCTCCTCCATCTTTTTATTTAAATTTGAATTTAAAATGACCAACATTCATGAGTAAAAAGGAGATTTCAAAAAATTGTTACCAAAATCTGTCGTAAGAACCAAATAATTCTGAAATACATAAAATGAAGGAAAGTTTTCTTTCCTAGAAGTAATTATTGTTAATATCTCAGATCATATCTTTATAGACTTTGCTCTCTCCATATACACAATCTTAAAAACATTTCTTTTATATTACCTTTTAATTTAATTTTTCTTTTTAAAGTAAATAGTTTTTAAAGTTTTTCCTTTTTAAAATAAATCCTGTTTTTTTGGGGAACTCTAAATATCATTCTCTTCCAACAGAATTTCCTCAACAATTTCCAAACTGCCAAAGAAGCTTTGAGTGCAGCTACAGTACAGGCTGCAGAAAGAGCTGCTTCCAGTATGAAAGACTTGGCTCAAAAGAGTTTCCGCCTTTTAATGGATATAAATTTGAAAGCACCAGTCATTATCATTCCTGAGTCTTCAGTATCACCTAATGCTGTTATAGCAGATCTGGGCTTAATCAGAGTTGAAAACAAATTTAGTTTAGTTCCTATGGAACATTCTCTTCCCCCAGTCATTGACAAAATGAATATCCAGCTCACTCAGCTGAAGCTCTCCAGGTATAAATATATAATTCAGTTGTGTATTACTTACTATAAATAGAATTTTCATAGACTCTTTGTTGGGGTAACATACTCGAGTATGTTTGTGGTTCTCATTCCTTATTTTTTCTAATTATGAAGTCTTGACTACTGGTGTTTGGTCAGTGGTTAATAACAGTGTACTGCATAGAATCTGCATTTTTTTCTTACTAAATTTATAATGTGAATTTTTTTTCCCATTTTATAAAAATTCCCTGTTACAAAATTCCAGGTTACTCAATAATACTTAATTTAGATTTATTTTTATTATTATTATTTTTTGCTTTGCACATAACTGTTTTCTGTAGATGGGAGAAAACTTCTTAAATTTTAATAAAATTTAAGATTTATTTCTCATTTCTAAGCCTTGTCACATTTGGGAAGTCTCAGTGAGGTAGGTATACATGTATAAAGGATTATTGAATCCAAATGGGATAGTGTTAGCTATTTTGAATGACAAGAGTATTTATTTGGTTGTACAAATGGTTGTTGGCAGGCAAGCTAGAAATGACTAGTATTATATGTTTGCCTAACTTCTGGGTTTGGTGAAATTTTCCCTTTGAGTATGGAGAAATACCAGTAACATAAAACTAAGGGCTAAGTAGACTGTCACTTTCTTTGTCCTCCATTTTTAGGAGGATATAACATTTATTTGTATAACATTGCAGTAGTTGTTAATATTAAATAATACTTGTGAAAGATATTTAATAGCCCAGTGCAATAGACATACTTGGTGAAAGTTGTCTTTGAAGTCAGAATTATATAGGCTGTGTTTTAGGTAGCTCTGTGTATAATCTTGATATATTCTGATTCGATTGATTTGTGAAAAGAAGCATGTTCTAAAAGAATTCTGATATAAGCCTTCAATGTTTACGACAATCCTATGTTGTATAATACAATAGTCTTCATTTTAAAACATAAATTTCAAAAATATAAAATGCTTGTTTATCCTTTTTTTAAATTGTTGTTTATCTTTCAGAACTATCTTGGAGGCTGGCTTGCCACAGCATGACATTGAAATTTTAAAACCGGTCAACATGCTTTTGTCTATACAGCGAAATTTAGCAGCAACATGGTATGTGCAAATTCCAGGAATGGAGATAAAAGGAAAACTAAAACCTATGCAGGTAAGTATATGCATGTAAAATGTATGGAAATTCCTAGATGGGACTCTTTAATCCCCTTTACTGTTAAGAAATTAGATCTCAGGACTAATATTTGTCCCATTTCCCTTCCTTTCAAAGATTGTATGGTTATATAGGTTTGTTGAAAGCAAAAGTAAAATCTAAATGTCTATCACTAGGAGACTGGATCAGATTATGGTATATTCATACAATGGACATTATAAAGTAGATAAAGTGAATGAACTAGAACTATACAAAGAGAAAATGGTTATATCTTAAACATAAAAATGAGAAAAATGAGTTGCAAAATGATAGTACAGTTCTATTGGGTTGTCGGAAAAGTCATGACACATGTTTGCGACAGATGGCACTAGTTCATTTTTGGACGTACTAGCATCATTCGCATCTATGTTATTGCTATGTCATTTGACAGCTGGCAGTTATAGCTTCATTCTAAAAAAAAAAATTGAGCGATTTGATTGAGTTTTGGAGATTTTACAAGTTGAAGATGGAAGATCAAACTGCATTTTTGCCGTATTTTACTGTTTTACCTCCATAAAGGGAAGAATGTGCATCAAGCTTGAAAAGTTGCATAGAGTTTATGGTGAAAATGCGCTACAAGAACGTCAGTGCCAATGATGATGCACGAAATTCTGTGGTGATTTTGATCTCAACGATGCTCCTCGGTCAGGGAGACCCACTGAGGTTGATGACAACAAAATAAAGGCATTGATCGAGTCAAACTCACGTTACACGACTCTAGAGATTGCAGAAACATTGCGCATCCATCATTGAAGCGTTCACGACCACCTGAAGAAGCTGGGATACGTAAGGAAGCTCGATATTTGGGTTCCGCATGAACTCAAAGAAGTTCATTTGATGGCACATATAAACATCTGCAATATGCTCATTAAACATGAGGAAAACGATTCTTTTTTGAAGTGACTGATAACTGGATGAGAAGTGGATTGTTGACAACAATGTGGTGCGCAAACGGTCTTGGTCCCGACATGATGATTCTCCTCAAACGACATCAAAAGCAGACATTCATCAGAGGAAGGTTATGC